AGAAAACTCCCTTTTTCCTGCGTAATTTTCCTATATAAAGGAATACTCCTTGCGGCGGCTCCTGTGCAGGAAAGTGAAGACTTCGGCCCAATTTGCCCAACAAGGGCTCACGTTTGTTGTTCCAAAAATGCCCCTAGAATAAGTTCTATCATCTGGACTCTTTTCCTGCCAAATTAGCACCTGTTATTATATTTTCGTTCTACTCCCTGAAATAAATGTAAATTACGAAAAGTGAGTAGAATCTAATAATTAATTCACATCAGGTCAAGTAATAGGGGAAATTAATAATAAAATAAGTGAATAAATTGCAACCTATCACTTAACCTCCGAGTCTTGGAATTATTAGTGTCGGACATTCGCAATTGGAGTGCAACTTCCGATAGTTTTTCCCGTCTTGAGAAATTGGTGGTGCACTCGTGCCTGCACCTGGTGGAGGTCCCTTCTTGTTTAGGGGAATGTGAGACTCTTGAAATGATTGAGGTAAAAGGGTGTCATGTGTCTGTTGCAAATTCAGTGAAGCAAATTCAGCAAGAACAGATGGATATGGGAAATGAGGATCTAGAGATTTTTATTAAACATTGTTATCGATATGAAGCAGAGACAATTCCATCGGAGGAGATTTCCTCAGAAGCAGAGGAGATTTCCTCTCACCACGCTTGATCAGGTTAGACACATATTTCTGTTCCCAATTTGAAGCCTGATGCATTCATTGTTTCTTCTTGACTTGGAGCGATCATTCCACTCATCAGGTTAGCTATAAAATTACTCATGGCCCTTCGTCATCACGTTGAATCAGTTCGATGATATAATAATTCATGTTTATTAAAGCAATTTCTGGAGCTTTCCAGATTATTTGGTTTGACCTTAATGCAGCTGTGTAACTTTGTCATTGCAGGGGCGAGCGCAGTCATGCATTCTATCAATCCAACATTATCCATGATAATCTATTTGTAAAATGTTCTCCATGCTCTTTTCGGGTTTGATGTTTGATAGTGTTTATACTCTATGATCCATCAAAATCCGTTTGTAAAATGCTCTCCAGGTTCTTTTCTGGTCTGATGTTTAATGGTGAAAATTGTGATATTCTATGCCGTGTAACTTGTGATTTAACATATCTTAAAAGGTTCTTGGCATCTTCTCAATTCTGTAATTGTCAAATTCTATACCATGTAACTTGTTTAATACAAGAAGATTTAGAAAATGGAGAAAACCATAAGCTAGCAATCATTTAATACCAATACTAAAGTTGGCACAGAAACCATTACATGAAGGTTACTATGACTTATGAGCAAAAAGGGGGCAGCATGCCAGGTGAAAATTGACATCATATTTTTGTAATCCAAAAATGTTCATGGTTTCTTCTCTTTTCGTTTCCCGCCATCTTTTTGATTGGGCGTTTCTTTCATTTTTAATTGTCTGATTTTGGGCCTTGATTTATTGGGTTTATTACTTCTAGGGCAAAATGTTTTAGTGGCCCTCAAACTATTAAGAAATTTAACTTTTGACTGTCCAACTATTAATTGATAAGTTTTAACCCTCCAACTAATGAAAACATATAATCCTACCCCTTCCATCAACTTGGTTCGTTATGTTTAACAAAAATAGCACGATGTGTGCAGCAATGACACTCAAACTATTGTAAAGTTCAACTTTTATCTCTCTAAATATTAACTGGTGAATTTTACCCCTCCAACTAAATAGAATGTATAATCTTGACCCTTGCATCAACTTGAGTCATTATGTTGAACAGAAACATCACCATGTGCATGACGGGGCATAATCAAGGGGCATTTTCATCCTCACAAGACGTGCTAGGGTAAAATTGTTTTACCCCTATTTGAATCAAACTAATTTACCAAATTTCCCATTGCTCAAGTTGAGCAAAATTAATTGAAAACCAAAACCCTAAGCAAAGAAATTCCAACAAGGATAGGCAACTTAGTTTGGATAGGAGTTTATTTGGATAATTTATTTGAGATAATTACTGTAACACTTTTTGTGATGTGATGTATGTGAGATAAAAATGTGATTAGGATTTGTGAAGTAAATTATTTTATCTCAAACCATCTTAATCCAAACACACTAAAATATTGAATTGCGTTTGTTGGAATTTAACTCATTTTTCAATGTTATTCTAGGTTCGCTCAGTTCATATGCTTTTCTTAATGACATAAATCTAGCACACAATTCATTTTTTCGGAATATTCCATAAGCCTTGGCTCCTTTTCAAAATTGAATTTACTAAATCTCTCAAATAATCAATTCTCAGCTTTACATTACAGCACCTAAACCTTCTTGATTTATCAAATAATAGGTTGGCTGGTCACATTTCTGATTCTTCATCAATAGATGTTTCTGATCGATATAATAAGTCAACGGAAATGTTAGAATTATACATTTTAATTAGTAGAAAGGTTAAAACTTATAAGTTGGAGCCAAAAAGTTGAATTTTGTAACAATTTGAGGGCCATTGAGGCATTTTGCTTATCTCATGAATCCTACAGCTCTGTTAGAGATAACGACTCAAGTTGACGGATTGACCAAAATTATATGTTTTAATTAGTTGGAGGGTTAAAACTTATTAGTTAACAATTAGAGGGCCAAAAGTTGAATTTTATAATAGTTTGAGAGCCATTGGTACATTTTACCCTTACTTCTACTGGTTTCTTACATAAGTTTTTATTTTTTAGTTTTCACTTAAACTCCCTTTCCTGCATCCGATTTTTTTTAAAGTCCTTATATGCCAACATTATATTTAATTACCCTAACTACCCTAACAATTATTGGAAAAAGATTTAGAAGATAAAATACCAAAATTTATAAAACTAAGATATTCTAAAAATTATATTTGCACTTAAACACCCATTTGATCCATTTTGAATGCGCCAACCTTGTATTAAATCACCCTTGATATTCTAACAGTTTTTGGCAAAAAAGTTTAGAAGAGAAAAAACCAAAATCCAAAAAAGAACGGCTATCCTAACAATTATTTTTCACTTAAACAGTCCCTTCCCCCAACTTTTGATTCTCCTATGCCAACCTTATATTAACTGAACTCCCCTAGTTCAAATGTAATGAAATTTCAATCATAGACAGTAGTCAAGGGGATAAAGAAGATGTATCTTAATATATGTATTGCAACCATAATAATCAATTTAACTGTAAATGGTCCAGCAATAGGGGCCTGGACACCAAATCTTGGCACTGCTTACAAATATGGCAACTACTAGGCAAAAGGTGAGGTTGAACTTGTTTGAAAGCTTAAGAGTGCTATCTCTTATGCCTGTAAAGAGTCATTGGAAGCCACTACACTATTCATGCCCTATCAATTCCACTTATAACAACTGTGCTAGCAATCCATTTACATATCCAAGTGTTCCGATGAAATGAAAAAACAAGAATCAGCAGTCAAATTTCCATTTTGCACGCATAGTTGTTGGCTAGACAACTACTAAACATTTATGTTTTGGTGTGTGTGTGTGTGTTTTGGGAGAGGAGGGAGGGGGGGGAATTATAGAGCCTACCATCATGGAGTTCAGGACATTATACTACAACAAATAGTTACGGTGGACTAGCATATGCATGTATATCCACTTATTTGCAGCTTTTTAGGAAAAGATAAACCAGTCTTGATGACTTTTAGCATCTTGTGTAGTTTTGCACATCATAATCAACTCACTCTCCAGCCGTGTTAGTAAATAGCTCATGCGGTCTTGAGATTGTAAGGCAATAAAGCAGTTGATATATCGCTTTCCTTGTGGAGTGTGAAAATTTCTGACGTCTCTTTCTACATATGTTCCTCAAGCAATCTCCTATGTTTGAAAAACTGGAAAAAATAAAGTATTAAATCATTTCTGGCCAACAAATGACAATTATCATATGCTTATTAACATGACTGGAGTAAAAGGCAAGGCAACATGCAGTTACCTGTACGCATTCCATTAACTATTAACAAGTTTTGGTCCTCAATCTACAGTGTATGCGTGAAATTATCTCCAATCTATTTTGAAAATTAATTTTGATCCCCAATTTATTCAATTTTGCGCTAAAGTGGACAATTGACGGAATCTCTTCAATTTCAATCGGAACTAAGTCACGTGAGATCACGTGCCGGCACCTAAAACCCCTTTTTCAATTTTTTAATTTCTAAATCATGTTTTTTCTAGTGGCTTGGCTTTTGGCATGGACACTCTTGTCCTTTCAGCCAGATCAATCTCCTTCTCGCTAATTCTTTTCCAATCAAAACTCTAAATTAGAGATCCCAAGGCCAAACCCACCACCCGTTGTGCTAGGCTAGAACCAGGGTAAGATCTCCTTCCCATCCCAAATGGCAGCTTTGATGGCTGAACCTGCAAGCCTTCGAATCTCTCTGGCTTGAAGATTGTTGGATCATCCCAAACGTTTGGGTCCTTGTGAACTGCCCATGAATTAACTAGCAAAATTGTGCCTCGCGGAATATTGTATCCCCCAATTTTATAGTCATCGGACGACTCATGTGGTACTGGCATTGGTGCTGCTGGGTAACACCGAAGTGTTTCTGAAATAATGTTATGAAGATAAGGAAGATTGGATAGATCATGTTCGTCGATCAATCGATCAGTCCCTACTTGAGCATCCAATTCAGCTCAAGCTTTCTCTAGCACCTCGGGATGGTTGAGCAAAAGAGACAAGGCCCATTCTATAGTCACCGATGAAGTGTTTGTTCCGGCTGTAAGCATGACCTACCAATAATATACTAGTGGTTCAATTGAATACTCATTCCATTTCAATGGTGAAGAATGGCTAATAGGGAAAGAATATACTTACCAGTATAATCTCTTTGATGATTTGGTCCGTATAATCCATTTGATTTCCAATTATTATCATCCGCTCTTCTCTCTCGGCTGCTTGTTTGCTTGCCTGCTTATGAAGTAGTACTGTTGCTGCTGCTCCTGTTGTTTGTGCAGGAGAGTTGAACTGGATCCGTCTCTGGCGTTGATTGCAGATTATCTCCATTACTAATGGAGGCAAGAACGAGACTTGGACTTGGAGGCCAAGCTGAGCTTCTTACTCATGCTGTGGGTTCTGGGGATTTGAAGGCCGCGGCCAACAAGAGGAGTAATTTGGATTGTGAGATTACCCCTTTCATGTCTTTGTTTAATAAGACAAAAGGCAAGAGAAAGCTGAAAATATTTTAAAACTTGTTTTAGAAATTAAAAAATTGAAAAAGGGATTTTAGGTGCCGGCACGTGATCTCATGTGACTTAGTTCCAATTGAAATTGAAGAGATTCCATCAATTGTCCACTTTAGCGCAAAAATTGAAAAGATTGGGGACCAAAATTATAATTTTCCCTAAACAAAATGAAAGCGACCAAATTGATAGATGCATGCATGGCCACTAATAAATGATAGCTTATTTTCAAGGGACAAAAATGAAACTTTCCTCTCGGTCATGCTCTTTGTGTGGCACTATTTAACTTTTAATTGCTTCAACAGTTCTGCTGCACAATATCTTCTGTGAACAAGATATGCTATTACAATATTTACACAAAAAGTACTATTTAAAAAAAAAAAAGAGAAAGAGTCCAGCCTGTTGTTTGTTAGCTATTGTTAGATAAGAAAGTTGCAGATCCTGAATTAATTTTATCCAGTTGCTAAACCAGATAGGAATCTGATATCAGAGTGAAAAAAGGATATCATAATGGACATCCCCTCTACAAGTAACAACGGCTGCTTTGATTTTGCTTTAGATGATTACCAGCACTCGTATCACATCTCCTCCGGCAATAGCACTTGTTGCTTTGATCTTGCTTTTGATTGTCTTGTCGAGTTTGCTTATCTTGCTGAGCTTGAGGTGTCCCACTATATCCGTCCCAGCATTGGCAGATTCATCAAGTACCTGAGGATAAATGTAAGACTATTGAAAACCCTTTTCCTGCATGTCAATAAGTGTTGGAAGAGGAACCATGAAGCGCTTTCAGAGCATGATCAAGAGGACAAGGGTAATATTACATCTGAAAGTTTGAGATGTAGTAGCATTTGCTTCAGAATTCAAGATGTGATAATCAAGATGATTCATGATCTTCAGTCTGCTTATCTTCTATACAAACATTCTGGTGAGTCAGATCTTGACATCCTACATAGTGCGCTAACCAGATCCCTAGAAAACATCCTATTGTTTCTTGAGACAGATATCAAGAAATCATGCTCCATCATCTTCTTCAACTATTACTCACCGGAAGATCCACGACTAGCTATGGATCTTATTCAGTCCCTTTTAGAGACTTTGGAGTGTCAGTTATTTGGACGTCACATGGAACCCATTAGACGGAAGCTAATGCCCTTAAGGAATCTCATTGGCTTTGCTATAGTGCGACGTGTTGAGCGTGAGCAATTGATAGATCTCTTGAATCACGTTGCAGTTGTGGCTGCACACCTGATTTCTGTATGTCAGTTTGACAGCGATAGACTGACTGCAACTTCTGTACGTGTTGATACAATCAATCAAATGGCCTTTGAAATACATCAGATGATACACAAGAAGATAAATCCCCTTGATCCCCAAGCCCGAGAAATTTATATCCATGTCCTGGCAGCCTCAAAGAAACAATCAAGATCATTAAACGCTTTAGTCCTTGAGGAGAATGAGCATTCAGTGGTTGTCGAGTTTGTTAATTCTCTCCTGGATTATCTTATGGTTATACTAGGATCTTATGCTAGCTTTCAGGTTCTAGTGAAGGGTCAAATGCAAAAACTCTACCAGGGAATAAAGTATCTGAGTATCCTTCTTAAACGGGAGGAGACACTAGGTGATAAAATAAAGGATCTTATTGGAGTTGTAGTCTGTGATGCAGGAATTTTGATCTTCTCCCTTTCTGTCAATGAAATCAAAGAAGGGTTGCCCAAGAACACAAAAATTGGGCTGTTTCATTTGCACAGAGTTCTCAAGTATTTGATGGCAGAGGTTGCACACAATTATCCACTAACATCACCATGTTCATCACTTAATTATCCTAGATGCAATGAGTTGGGCTGTATGGATTTTTTCCTAGAAAATCTCAAGGAGCTAGGAAAGAGTAATGAGGCTGATGATTCAAATGTTTTCCTATTGGATAGATTCCAAATGGTCCTGGAAGATCTCATATTCTTGAGATCTTTCCTGGAGAATATCAAGGATCAGCGCTATCATAATGGAAAACTTCAAGCTTTCTGGAGTCATGTTATGGAGGCTATTACAAGGTAGAGTTACTGATTGACTCAACACTTGTTGGTGATAATTGCCAAGATTCTCTGGTTGCTGTTGCTAATGATGTCAATCATCTGAAGATTAAGGCCCGGGAGATTCAAAATGGTCAAACCCAGAGAGTTAACAAGACTTCCATTCAGATACCAACACAACTTACTGCCGCGACACACAATGAAGATCTGGTGGACCTTGATGATGCGGTGGAAACTATCACTCATCGACTTACGAGAGGATCAAAGCAGTTGGATGTTGTTCCCATCGTGGGAATGCCTGGGCTAGGCAAGACCACATTAGCCACTAAAGTTTATACTGCTCCTTCAGTTAGGTCACATTTCCATGTTTGTGGCTGGTGTGTTGTTTCTCAAACATATAGCACTCGCATATTATTAGTTCAGCTTTTGTGTAGTATTTTTTCAAAGAGCCCTGATGAATTTCTTAAGATGGGTGAAAATGCTTTAACTCTGCAGCTAAAGCAAGTTTTACTGAGAACTAGGTATCTCCTTGTTTTGGACGACTTGTGGGACGTTGAGGCATGGAATTTGTTGGAAAAATTGTTGCCGAATGATGTCAATGGAAGCAGGATTCTCTTCACCAGCAGATTTCAGAACTTGTCTCTACAATCCAAACCTGATATCAAACCTTACCATCTCCGCCAACTTACTGCTGAAGAGAGTTGGGCATTGCTGCAGAAAAAGTTATTTGACAAAGAAAGTTGTCCTCCAACACTAAGTGAAGTTGGATCTCAAATAGCAAAATCTTGTAGAGGCTTACCCCTCACAATTGTCCTTGCTGCTGGAATTCTTGCTAATACTGCACAAGATTGTTGGGAAGATGTTGCAAAATGTCTGAGTTCTAGTGTCCTTGACAATGAATACTGCATGAAGACACTTGAGTTGAGTTATGGCCATTTACCAGATTATTTGAAGCCATGCCTTCTATACTTTGGTTCATTTAAAGAAGATGAGGTTATTAATGTTCGAAGGTTGTTATGGCGTTGGATCTCTGAAGGATTTGTGCAGCAGACTGAAGGAAAGAGTTTAGAAGAAGTGGCTTACGACCACTTGATGTCTCTAATTAATAGAAGTTTAGTTCTGGTTTCCAGACAAAGAACTAGGGGTGGTGTTCAAGCTTGCCAAATTCATGATTTGGTACACGAGTTTTGTGTGGAAAAAGCCAACGAAGAAAGTTTTCTGCATATCATTGATAGTCAGAAAGACCCTTTTAGTCTTACTGGACCAAGCAACCACCACCGAGTTTATGTTCACAATACCAGGGAATTGAAGATTTGGGAGTTAATGCTAATTTTTCCCAATTTGCGCTCTTTGCTCTTGTTTGGAGATAATTATTGGGAACCAAAAGAGGAGGATTTGGGGATTTTGTTGCCTAAACTTCTTAGAGTGCTGGATTTGGGGGATTTGAAATTTTATGAATCATTTCCGATGGAAGTTTTATTGCTTGTTCGCTTGAGACATCTGGCGCTTTGTAAAACAAGATCCATCCCATCTGCCATAGACAACCTCTCAAGGTTAGAAACTCTTACCGTAAATGGGCCGTATCTTGAGATTGTGCTGCCGGATACTATATGGAACATTAAGACCTTGAGTAATCTAAGTATTGAGCCACATGGGACTAAAAATTATACTCATGGTTTTATTTTTCGAGTTGGAAATCTTGAAGTATACCCAGATTTAGATCATTTAAATACTTTAAACCTTGCAATTGATTCCTCTTCTAAAAGCTTGCAAAAGCTACTGACAAAGTTACCAAGCATCCGCAGGCTAAAATGTGCAGGACGGTTAAACCCATGTAAAGCTACCAAAAATTGCGATGAGATTCTTCAGTTTGACTGTTTGAGTCAACTAGAATCACTACGTTTGATTCGTCTTAGGGGATATGGATTTAAATTCCCGCTGAATTTGAAGAAGTTGGTGCTCTCATGGATGAGTCAACCATGGACTGAAATTTCAAAAATTGGAAAGCTGCCCAATCTTGAAGTGCTTAAATTACTCAATTACTCCTTTGATGGGGAAGAATGGGTAGTGAAAGGGAGTTCCCTAACCTCCGAGTCTTGGAATTGCTAAAATTGGGCATTAGCAACTGGACTGCATCTTCTGATAGTTTTTCCCGTCTAGAGAAATTGGTGGTGCACTCGTGCACGTACCTGGAGAAGGTCCCTTCTTGTTTAGGGGAATGTGAGACTCTTGAAATGATTGAAGTGAAATGGTGTCATGTGAGTGTTGTAAATTCAGTAAAGCAAATTCAGCAAGAACAGATGGATATGGGAAATGAGAATCTAAAGATCGTTATTAAAGATTGTTATGATTTCCCCAAAAGCAGAGTAAATCCCCTCAGAAGCAGACGAGATTTCCGCTTACCACTGAGGAAACACTTTTCTGTTCCCAATTTGTGCATCTAAGTAAGAGTAACACAGCAGAGTGTAAGTTGCTTGACCTTTATAATTTGCATGACATTGTTAATATGAAAAGCATGTTTCATTGACATTGAGATCTAGAAATAGTTTTAAATATCTGAAAACATGTGTCTTTCTTCACTAATATTTTGCTGAGGCACAAACATTTTTATTCTTCACTTAGCAACATTCTAAAGGAAGCAAATTTACCTAAAGCTTTTTCCTTCTTTAATGTTGTTTCGTGATCTATTTTCCATTTTAACAGGTGAATTGCTCGAACTGATCAAAATGACAAATCAGAGAAGCTAGATGACCTTTTTTGTTGGGTGATATGTATGCCTCTTCATTCAACTGAAGTAGTATTGCCTTTTCCCGCACTAGACAATGATGAAGAATGATGCATTCATTGTCTTCTTGATTTGGAGTGATCATTCCACTCATCAGGTTAGCTATAAAATTACTCCTGTCCCTTCTTCATCTGTGCATACGTTGAATCAGTTCGATGATATCATAATTCATGTTCATTATAGCAATTTCTGGAGCTTCCAGATTATTTGGTTTGAACTTAATGCAGCTGTGTTACTCTGTCATTGCAGGGGCAAGCGCAGTCATTCATTCTATCAATCCAACATTATCCATGACAATCTATTTGTAAAATGTTCTCCATGCTTTTTTCTGGTTTGATGTTTGATAGTGTTTATACTTTATCATCCATCAAAATCTGTTTGTAAAATGTTCTCCATGCTCTTTTCTGGTTCGATGTTTAATAGTGAAAATTGTGATATTCTATACCATATAACTTGTGAAAGGCACTTGGTCATATCGCTTTTAACATACCTTAAAGGCTCTTGGCATCTTCTCTATTCTGTAATTGTGAAATTCTATACCATGGAACTTCTTTAATACAAGAAGATTTAGAAAATGGAGAAAACCATAAGCTAGCAATCATTTAAGACCAAAACTAAAGTTGACACACAAACCAGCACATGAATGTTGCGATGACTAATGAGCAAAAAAGGAGCAGAATCCAGTTGAAAATTGATATCATATATCTGTGATCCAAAAATATGCACGGTTTCCTCTCTTTTCGTTTCAGGCCTTCTTTCTTTGATTGGGGGTTTCTTTCATTTCTAATTGTCTGATTTTGGGCTTTGATTTATTGGATTTATTACTTCTAGGTCAAAATGTTCAAGTGGCCCTCAAACTATCACAAAATTAAACTTTTAACCCTCCAACCATTAATTGATAAATTGTAGCTCTCGAACTAATTAAAACATATTCGTCAACTTGAGTCGTTGTATTTAATAGAAATAGCACGATGTGTGTAGTAGTGGCCCTCAAACTATTCTACAGTTCAATTTTTGGCCCTCTGACTATTAACTAATAAATTTTACCCCTTCCTCAAACTAAATAAAGCGTATAATCCAAATCCTTCCATCAACTTGAGTCATTATGTTAAATAGAAACATCACCATGTGTGCGACAAGGGCATAATCGAGGGGCATTTTTGTCTTAACAGGACGTGTTAGGGTAAAATTGTTTTACCCCCATTTGACTCAAACTAATTTACCAAAATTCCAATTGCTGAACTTGAGCAAAATTAATTGAAAACTCAAAAGCCTAAGCAAACAAATTCCAGCAAGGATAGGCAACTTAAAGAGTTTGTTTGGATAGGAGTTTATTTGTATGATTTATTTGAGATAATTACTGCAGTAATTTTTGTGATATGATGTATATGAAATAAAAAGGTGATTAAGAAGATAAAAAGGTAATTAAGATTTGTGAAGCAAATTATTTTATCTCAAATCATCACAATCCAAACACAATATTGCATTTATTGGAATTTAACTCATTTTTCGGTGTTATTCTAGCACACAATTCATTTTTTCGGAATATTCCATAAGCCTTGGTTCCTTTTCAAAATTGAATTTACTAAATCTCTCAAATAATCAATTCTCAGCTTTACATTACAGCACCTAAACCTTCTTGATTTATCAAATAATAGGTTGGCTGGTCACATTTCTGATTCTTCATCAATAGATGTTTCTGTTGGATATAATAAGTCAACGGAAATGTTAGAATTATGCATTTTAATTAGTTGAAAGGTTAAAACTTATAAGTTGGAGCCAAAAAGTTGAATTTTGTAACAATTTGAGGGCCATTGAAGCATTTTGCTTATCTCATGAATCCTACAGCTCTGTTAGAGATAACCACTCAAGTTGACGGATTGACCAAAATTATATATTTTAATTAGTTGGAGGGTTAAAACTTATTAGTTAACAATTAGAGGGCCAAAAGTTAAATTTTATAATAGTTTGAGGGCCACTGGTACATTTTACCCTTACTTCTACTGGTTTCTTACATAAGTTTTTATTTTTTACTTTGCACTTAAACTCCCTTTCCTACACTCGAATTTTTTTAAAGTCCTTATATGCCAACATTATATTTAGTTACCCTAACCACCCTAATAATTATTGGAAAAAGATTTAGAAGATAAAATACCAAAATTTATGAAACTAAGATATTCTAAAAATTATATTTGCACTTAAACACCCCTTTGATCCATTTTGAATGTGCCAACCTTGAATTAAATCACCCTTAATATTCTAACAGTTTTTGGCAAAAAAGTTTAGAAGAGAAAAAACCAAAATCCAAAAAAGAATGGCTATCCTAACAATTATGTTTTACTTAAACAGCCCCTTCCCCCAACTTTTGATTCTCCTATGCCAACCTTATTTTAACTGAACTCCCCTATTCTAACAATTGTTTGTGCAAAAGGAAAAAATGGCAGGGAAAATAAAAATCAATGGCTATTCGAAAGATTATTTTTTTCGCTTACCCCAAACCGATCCTCTTTTCTTGCATAAGTTACTGGTATATCTTCACTCAAATGTCACAAATCGTGTTCAGTGAGTATAGTTCAAATGTAATGAAATTTCAATCATAGACAGTAGTCAAGGGGATAAAGAAGATGTATCTTAATATATGTATTGCAACCATAATAATCAATTTAACTGTAAATGGTCCAGCAAGAGGGGCCTGGACACCAAATCTTGGCACTACTTACAAATATGGCAACTACTAGGCAAAAGGTGAAGTTGAACATGATTTGAAAGCTTAAGAGTACTTGCTCTCATGCCCATAAAGAGTCATTGGAAGGCACTTCACTATTCACACACTATCAATTCCACTTATAACAGCTATGCTAGCAATCTATTTACATAATTACATATCCAAGGTGTTCCGATGAACTGAGAAAACAAGAATCAGCAGTCGAATTTCCATTTTGCACGCATAGTTGTTGGCTAGACAACTACTAAACATTTATGTTTTGGTGTTTGTTGTTGGTTGGGTGGGTTTGTTAGGGGGGGGAGTTCAAGACATTATACTACAACAAATAGTTACACTGGACTAGCATATGCATGTATATCCACTTATTTGCAGCTTTTCAGGAAAAGATAAATCAGTCTTTATGACTTTCAGCATGTGAGTAAATTGCTCATGCGGTCTTGGGATTGTAAGGCAGCAAAGCAGTTGATACATCGCTTTCCTTGTGGAGTGTGAAAATTTCTGACGTCTCTTTCTACATATGTTCCTCAAGCAATCGTATGCTTATTAAATCATTTCTGGCCAACAAATGACAATTATCATATACTTATTAACATGACCAGAGTAAAAGGCGAGGCAACATGCAGTTACTTATACGCATTCCATTAACTATTAACAAGTTTTTCCAAATGACACTAAGTGGCAGCATTTTACTTGGGGTGCTTTCCTACCTTAACTACATAATAGGAAGAAGATTAAACTGATTAGCCCAGCATTACAAGAACAGGGAAACAGACTCAACGTTGCCAAAATGCTTTTTTACATATACAAGGCCACAAACAAATTTTATACAGTTTCTCAATGCCAACACCCACACACGCCTGACCTTTCCCTATCACCAAGCCCCCACACAACAAAACAAAAAATAAAAACCAAAGAACAGCATTAATAACAAAAAACCAGCAAAGAAAACAAAAAGTAGGAAATTGATTTAGTGGGCATACTTGCCCAATTACAATTGCTTTTCATTTCTTTTTTGGCCATGAATAAAATTTACTATACAAAGCCTCAAAATCAGGACATGCTTGATTAAAAGATGTGATATGGATGAAGTGTTTGTGCACAGTATAACTATATCGAGAAAGTCAGAACAGAAAAGGTCAGGCATAGTTCACAACGATCCCGGCGCTATCAACTCTAAGAAAGAACTCATCAATACTCATTATCTTGAAAAGACAAGGTCACTACTCATCATCTTGAAAAGTTAAGGGGTAGCAAAAAGTCCGGAAAAAAAATTCTTCCAGTATTTAAGAAATAACAACTCAAAAAACTTCTGCAACTAATGTCAGTTACCTGTAACATCCTTAATATGAGAAGCATCTTCAATTACACTAGAGTAGATTCATCTGAATCTGGTTATTCCGATCACTTACCTTGTTTTCAAGCCAAGGCTCTGTTTCTATCATCTGAACATAGAAACGAGCAATCTGCCGCCTGGTATAACTCATAGTAATACACCACTTTTTTTCAAAGGTTTCATATCCAAGTCAATGAAAGATACCTGCACAAAATGAAGGTCTATGAGCTACAATCACATGATAAATCCAAGATGCAACACAAATA